GTCTGGGCTGGGGATATAGCTCGTGCTAGAGCACTTGCCTGGCATGCACACCCTGGGGGGCTGGGCTAGGGGGAACTTTGGTCTCTATCCTGGGTTCCTGTTTTGAAGCTTCTAAAATGCATGGAATTTCCACAGTAGTAGCAATGCCTTTGTTCTTCTGGTATGATCTTGGATTGCACTGGAGCTTATGCTGCTGAAGGTGAGGGCCTGTACTCTATTTTTTTTTAGTGTTCACTTTAAATTTTGCCTAATAAGCCTTTGTGTGCCTCTTTAAAACAAACAAAGTGGAGATGAAGCTCAGTGCAAAGCCCCTGGATTCCATCTCTAGTACTGGGGAAAAGAAAAAAGTTATGTGTTAAAATAAATAAAAAGGAAAGATATGTGTTAAGATTATATGAGGTAATGATATAAACAGTTAGTGGCTAGCACATCATAAGTAGTCACTACATGTTAGCTCTTACCGCTTTGTCTACTAAGTGATGTAGCTGACAGTGCTTGTAGGGCTATGAGGTCGATTAAAAGCTTCAAGAGACAGGGAAATTGAGGACCGGGGATTTAGCTCAGTGCCAGTGCCACAGCGCCTGCCCGGCAAGCATGAAGTCCTGAGTTCAATTCCCGGTAGCAAGAAAAAAAGAGAGGCAGGGAAATTGAGGGGTCAAGTTAAAGTTTAATAGCTTTGTAGTCAACAGCAATACCAGGAAGTTAGGACCAAGAAAAATGGTTAACCTAGCTATCAATCAGCCTTCTGAAAACAGAACAATAGTGACTTGAAAACACTATTAAGGATTCCTTCCACAAGGAAGGGGCAAATGAGTGGAAGAGTCACTAAAGCACCCTGTAGTTACCTTTGCGTCGTTGTCCGAGTGAAACACACGCTCCTAGCAGAGACTTAAAGTGAAAATAAGGCAGGCGTTCACGAAGAGGCAAGGTGAGAAAGAGCCCGAGCACGGCTCCTCCTCCTCACGGGTTCCACCTCTAATGCGATGGTGTCCACCCTGGGCCCCGCCTACTCTAGGAGCCCTGTAAAGCTCTACCTTCCTGTCCTTTTGTTTAGGCCAGCCTGGGATTTCTGTCCCCATGCTCTCATTCCACAAGCACTGTCCCCTTTGTGCTTCAGCATAAGAATGAAAGTCTTATTCCTGCACCAAGGTGCTTCTGCCTGATTCTTCTGATAGCGTAAGAATCCACGGAGCCGGGCGTGGTGGCGCACGCCTGTAGTCCCAGTACTTGGAAGGCTGAGGCAGGAGGATCGTTGCGAGTTCGAGGCCAGCCTGGGCTACAAAGTGAACTCAAGTCCAGCCTGAACTGCATAGCAAGACCCTGTCTCAAAAAGACACACACACACACACACACAAAAAAAAGAATCCATGGAGTCCATGACGTAAGCACTCAAAATCCCTTGAATGATGGGGGGGCTGGGTCTCCTAAAGGAATAATCCTGTTACATAGCTCCGCCCAATATATATAATACATGCATATACATACATGCATGTACATACATATATGCTTGTATAGCTATATGTATGTATATGCACATCTTCTGTAGCCTTGCAGCTATTATCAGGGTACCAGAAGTGAGGAAAAATCAAACTTTGCGGGGACTTTTAAATACTGGTTCTGAGCTGACACTGACTCCTACACCAGTAGAACTGTGTGGTATGCCACGGTAGCAGCTGATAGAGGTCAGTAATGTTTTCCAGTGGGTCAGTTTCACAGACAGCCTGGTGTTTCCCTAAAGCCATCCTCAGTTATTTCCCAGTTTGGAAATGTGTCATTGGAATAGACAAATCAGCCCCTGTCAGAGTTCTTATCCTTGTTCCCTAACCTGTGAAGTAAGGGCTATTACGGTAGCAAAAGCCAAGTACATAACCATTCTCATGGAATCTATACACCAATAGTAAACCAAGGTGTTACTATATTGTTAGAGGGACTGTGGCGATGAGGCAATTCTTAGTCCTCCCAACCCTGCAATTTAAGACAAAGGAAAATTATACCCAGTAAAGGCAAGATGGCTAAAGAGTCAGGCTTTTTACAAATGCTGGCATGGTGGCTGGGCATAGCTCAAAGGTAGAGCTCTTGCTTAGCATGCCTGCAGCCCTAGGTTCAGTCCCCAGCCAGCGGGGAAAAGAAGGAATAGGTCCTCTCACTGGTCAAATAGCCATGAGTATCTAAAACACTTGCTGGGCTGGGCATGGTGGCCAATGCCTGTAATCCCAGCACTCGGGAGGCTGAAGCAGGAGGATCGTTGTGAGTTCGAGACCAGCCTGGGCTACAAAGTGAGCTCAAGGGCAGGCTGAACTGCATAGTGAGACCCTGTCTCAAAAAGACAGAAAAAAAAAAGAAACACTTGCTGATGGCAAAAATAATATGAGATAGGTAGTTGAAAAACATAATTTAATACCAGTATGATCATCTGAACAGTTGTAGAAACAAAGACTGTGATTATTATTAGCATTTCTTCCTCATTTTCATTCCTCATCTTTTTTTTTTCAATCAAGAGTCTCAATATGTTGCCAGGCTGGCCCGAAACTCCTGGTCTGCAGTGAGATCCTGCCTCAGCCTCCAGAGCAACCAGGACTAGTTTGTGCCGTCGTGCCCAGTCTTTTCCTCCTTATTTCGATATGCATACATCTGTGTAAGTATAGCCAACTATTTTCTTTTTCCTGTTTTTATTTACCTATCATCAAACATAAGGGGCCTTAGTAGTGGTTCACTTATATCTCAGAATTTAACTCCGAGAGGAATCAGCATCAGCCACAGATGAATAAGGGAGCTCTGTGTCCTCTTCGGGAGTTAACTCGAATGGTTTTGGTTACATTAGCGACAACTGATCTTACTCTTGCTGCAGCTGAAGCTGAGAGTGACTCTAAGAGGCCGCCAAGGGGTCAGGGCTGGACAGTGGGGTGTGTATTGATTCAGCTGAGCTAATCCCTAGCTACACTTTCCAGAAGTCTTCTCCCTTCATTCTCCAGCCAGTGCACAAGAAGCATTTCGATGTGAGTTCGAAGGCAGAAGTGAAGCAGCAGCCTAATTCCTTCTGTGCGTGGCAGGCCCCTCTGCAACACACTCGCTTTTCTGCACGTCTGCCTCGTGGGCAGGGAGCCGCAACGAAGACCACAGCCACTAGGCTGCTGCTGAAGTTTCTCCCTCACCTTCTCTGAGACCTTGGCCAGGTTCATGTTCAGCTCCAAGACGAGGGGCACTATCTCTTTCTGTATGTCATTCTCATCATTGCCTCTGGAGATTTGGAAACAGTTTTAAAACCACAAGAATCTTTCTCTGCTTGTGGATGCCGTTGAGGAAGCATTGGTGAAGTCCCTCTTCCGCAGCGGTCAGGTTGCTGTCAGAGTCTCGCAGAGCGCTCACGCTGCGGGAGCTCTTCCTCAGACACTCAGCGCTAAAACATCAGAACATCCAAAGTGCCACTTTGAGCAATGGAGAACGGTCACGCAGTACGTGCTGATTAGAGACCCAAACACCACGTGCCCCAAGGCTTGCAGTTGTCCCCCTTCACTTATCCCCCTGTAAAGAAGGTAGATGCAGCCAGGAATGCAGGTGAAGATTCTCAGAGACCAGGTACCCACAGAACTGTGTTGCTTTTTTTTTGTTTTTTTTTTTTTTTTGGTTTTTGTTTTTTTCGTTTTTTTTCTCTGGTACCGGGAACCGAACTCACGACCTTGCACTTGCCAGGCAGGCACTTTTGCTGCTGAGCTAAATCCCCAGCCCTACCCACAGAACTGTGGAAAAGATCTTTTGTTGGCATGAAAGACACGGAATGAAGAACATCACCTAAGAGGTTTTGTTTTTGTTTTGTTTTGTTTTGTTTTTGAGGGTCTCATTACATAGTCCAGGATGGCCTCAAACTCACTGTGATCCTCCTGCCTCAGCCTCCCAAGCGCTGAGATTACAGGCATGCACCACCATGCCTGGCACCGAAGAGATTATTTTGAACCACGTGGGAAATTTTAAAATAATTGAAATCATGACTGACTAAGTAGTGGGAAAAAAATAGAGGCTTTTTTTCTGTAACTTTGACAATCGCAACTCCTTGGATAAGACTGTATTTAGAACTAGCATCCTGGTGAAGCAACAGGTGAGTTGTGCTTCTTCCATCCAAAGAAATCTAAGTGGTTCTGGACCTTGTTGGTGGTTTGAAGATGATTTTGGTGGAAACGACAACTCTGATCACAGAGGACATTACCCCAGTCACCGTGGCTTTGCTGGCAGCCATGATGGTGGTAGTGGAAACAGCTACAATAGATTGTTAATGGTGGAAGCAATTTTGGAAGTGATAAAAGCTATAGTAGTTTTGGCAGTTATAACGATCTGTCTTCACTTTTGGACCCATGAAAAGAGGAAGTTTTGGAAGCAGAATTCTGCCCCCTATGGTGGTGGATGACTACTTTGCCAAACCACAAAACCAAGGTGACTCTGGTGGTTTTAGCAGCAGCAGAAGCAATAGCAGTGGCAGACGTTTTCACCTCTGCCAGGAAACAAAGCTTAACAGAAGAGAGCCAGAGAAAAGACATGCAAGCTACAGGAGACAATAGATAATGAGCTCAGCCAGTGCAGGGGCGGCAGGGCCTCGCTGCTACAAAGAAGACGTGCTTCAGACGGTACTCGTGTACAGGCGAAAACACTCAAGGATTGTATTTGTGACTAATTGTATAACAGGTTATTTTAATGCCTGTCATGTGGACTGTAAAGCATCCTGACGAAGAGTTTTAAGGTTAAAAAACCCTCATGCTACTTATTCATTGCTGAATATGATGGTCCAGTCATGAGGCTGACTGTACTGGTTGGATGACTGTGTCAATTTGAGAAGTTTAGAAGCTTAACTAAATTGGCTCAGCAACTGTACACTCTCGGGGGTAAAAACTCCCCACGGGGCGGCTCGTCCCCTGCGTGGTATGAAGGAGGAAATGAGGAAGGAAGGATCTGTTTCTGTTCTTTGGAGGAGCTCCAGGTTTTGCCTTCATCTTGAATGTCATCTCCTGGCTTCCAGCGCAGACTCTTTGGCTTCTGGCGTAGATTCTTCAGCCTTTTGTCGCAGACCCGTGAGCCTCCTGACACAGACTCGCACAGGACACTGCAGTGAGCTCCAGGCCTTGGGCTGAAACCTTCGGTCTCTGGTGTGCAGATGCCCTCTGCATGCTTCTTCATCCAACTCTGTGGCTGACCACCCAAAGCCAGTCTTGTCGTTTCTTATACATTTGTATGTCTTGTGTACATCTGTTGCTCTAGGAAAACACTGACTGATACTCTCAATAAATGTGTATTTTTAAAAAGGCACTGAGGACTGAGAAAATGGCAGCGTGAGAACCAGCCACATACCAAAACCTCTTCAGGACCTGGAATCCAGATACCTGGAAAACAACAACTTAGTGAAAAGAGAAGGAAAGCAGCTCCTGGAATCACAAAAGAGCTGCAGGGAAAACTAGAAATCACAGAGCAACTGGAGAAACTGAATAGAAGGCAGGCAAAGAACAAAGCCATCTAGAATGCTAACCGCAGCTCGCGGGAGGGGGCCTGTGCCCCCAAACCCAAAGCGAGCCTGGAGAGGGTTGGCAGAGCCAGGGAGAAGCAACAGGCCAGCAGTTCTAGTTCCAAGAAAAGCCCACAGTTATTGCAAACTGCAAATACAGTGTAGGATTTTACTCTGAAAATGACTCTTCTGCACGGCCGGCTAGAGTTGGGGAAGAAATCCATTGCAGCACTCACCACACTGGAATGTGACGTCATCAGGTGCCGTTCTGGTAAGGGGTAACTGTTCTAGACTGAGCTGCTCTGGGAATCAGAAGTCAAAGGAGCAAACACGGTTCAGGACGTCTGAAGTGACTGGGTGGGAGAGAGCCAGAAGGGACAGCCATAGAGAGGGCATGGACTAGACACAGACAACCTGAAAAGCGTAAGCTCAGGCTGGGAAGGACAGAGGGCCCCACGTTCCGTGGGGAGAAGCCAGGCCAGTGTGTGTGGCCTTTAGATGGGGCTGGGTCTGAAAGCGCAGGCGGTAAGTCCAGTAGACATCTCTCCACCCCGACCCCGCTGCCCTGGGTGTCCACCTCCGGCACGGAACTCAGTGGTCTGTTCATTTTCCCTATCTGCCAACATCAGCAGGGCTACAGCTCAGCTTGGACGGTTACCACAGGCAGGAGCATACAGATAGAGGGGCCTCTGGAATGGGGTGGGGAGCGCCTCACAAACTCAAGGGTTGTAAAGCTAGGTGGAGAAGGCTACACCCGGAGCACACAAGGTACAGGGAAAGTGGGAGTAGCCGGGGTAAACACAGCTTCAGGGCAGAAGCCTTTGACTGACCACCCTAAGGCAAAAGGCAGGGTACAATTCAGCATTCTCACACAAAGTTGTGAGTGTGGAGACAAAGTAGCTCCGACAGGAACGCACCATCTCGGCCCGTTATCTTCTAGATTCCAACATTATCCACCCTGGGAAGAAACTGCTCATTCAAAAGCAGATTTTGGGGGGCTTACTTATCTTTTTCTTCATTGGTTTTGGGGGATTTGGAATTTTTTCTTTTTATTTCATTTTGCTGTCTGTTTTTTCACTCCTCTTGTTTTTCTTGTCTGTTCTGTTACTTTTACCTAATTAATTTTCTTTTACCTCTTAATAGGATCCTTTATCTTATTTTTCTCTCCTCATCTTCTTTTTTTTAAGTTTTTGAATTTTACTTCTCCTACTTTCCCATTCCCTGCCCCCTCCATCCTTAATAGTATTACTTTTTTTTTTTTTTTTTTTGTCTTTTTGAGACAGGGTCTCGCTATGCAGTTCAGGCTGGCCTTGAGCTCACTTTGTAGCCCAGGCAGGCCTCAAACTCACAACGATCCTCCTGCCTCAGCCTCCCGAGTGCTGGGATTACAGGCGTGTGCCACCGCACCCAGCCCAATAGTATTACTTTTAAGCTTTATTAACCTTTGGATATTTGCACCAGATAACGGGCCGAGATGGTGCGTTCCTGTCGGAGCTACTTTGTCTCCACACTCACACTTTTGTGTGTGAATGCTGAGTTGTACCCTGCCTTTTGCTCTAGTGTGATCAGTCAAAGGCTTCTGCCCTGAAGCTGTGTTTACCCCGGCTACTCCTACCTTCCTTGTACCCTGTGTGCTCTAAGTGTGGCTTTCTCCACCTATGCTATTGTTGAATTTTTTTCCATTGTTAATTGTGGCATAAGTGGTGCATTTAGTAATTATTTACTGCATGTCTTTGCATGTATATGACAATTATGGACATCTTTTCTATTGTGAAGGTCTGATACAGTGGTAGCTTTGTCGTATTGTATATTTTGGCTTTTTGAGACAGGATTCTACTATGTAACCCAGGCTGGCCTCAGACTTGTGGTGTTCTTTCTGTCTTATGCTTCCAAATGCTGGAATTATAGGCATTCACCACTATACCTAGCTCAGTGGTAGTTTTAACTGGTACTTATGGTATGTCAATGTCCAGTTTGTCTTTGACTCTATTATTGTTGCTGATTTGGTGGCTACTGCCAGGGTGTGTAATTTTTAGTTCTCAGTGTATGTCAATATCTGGCTTGTCTTTGTGTCATTAGCAATACTGTGATTCGTTTTGGAAGAGCTGGAAAAGAGGCCAACTGCATTGCACCTTTCTCCCCCAAATTAACAGGGGTCAGATCATGGGACAGAGAAGAACTCCCCCACAACAGATCATAGTTAAAATCACAAAAGTCTAACACAAAGACAGAATATCTTAAAGGCTGTCAGAGAAAAGATAAAAAATCACTTATACAGGTAAACCCAATAGAATTACAGCAGACTTCTCAGCACATACCTTAAAGGCCAGGAGACCTCTAAGCCCAAAAAGAAAACAACTTCCAACCAGAGTGACATATCTTATAAAAGTATCTTTCAAAATTGATGGAGCAATAAGGTCTCTCTACAACAAAGTCCACCATAGGAAATTTACAGCCACCAAACCAGCACTCCAAAGCATTCTCAAGGATATCCTTAGAGGGAATGAAGCCAATACTGCTAAAAAATCTAATGGAATATATATACCAGGTAGGGTGAGCAATTCAGCAGAAGAGAGGAAAAGGAATCAGTATCAGGAAAATAATGCAATATTAAAAATAAGTCAGTACATTTCAGTAATAACACAATATGAATAGTCTCAACTCCCCATTCAAATGACACAGATCAGGAAATTGGATCAAAAGCAAAGCCCAATAGTGTGCTGTGTATAAGAAACATTTAATCCAAAATGAAATTCATAGACCAAAAATCAAAGGATAAAAAACAATATTCTATGCAAAAGGAACTTGAAAACAAGCAATCTTATTGTCAAAGTAGACTTTGAGCCACAACTAGTCAGAACAGGCAAAGGATGTCACTACATATTGTTTAAGGGAAAAATGTAACAGGAAGAGATAACAATTTTAAACATATATGCACCAAACACATGTGCACCCACCTTCATAAAACAAATACTATTGCACATAAAAGATCAGATAAACCTTAACACAATTATAGTGAGGGACCTCAATACCCCACTATCACAAGTAGTGATAAAATCAACAAAGAATTATCAGAATTAAACTAGACCTTCAAAAAAATGGACTTAATAAATATCTACAGATTGTTCCACTGAACAAGATATACATTAGTATCTGTGCTGCATAGAACTTTCTCTAAAATACACTACAGACTAACTTATAAAAACATGCTTACATAAAGGCACAACCATGTGCCAGAGTGTCAGACTGGAAAAATGGCCCTGTTCGTGTTTGTGTGGGGAAAATGGCCAAAAAGAACCAAAATCATCCCAAGTATATTGTCAGATCACAGTACAATGAAACTAGAAATCAGTGGCAAAAGAAACCACAGGAATTATTGCAAACACCTGGAAGCTAAACACCACATTCTTGAATAATCAATGGGTTATAGATGAAATCAAAGAAGAAATTAGGCATTTCTTAGAATCAAACAATAATACCAATACAACACACCAGAACCTATGGAATACAACTGAAGCAGCCCAAAGAAGGAAATTTACAGCTGTGAATGCCCATACTAGACAAAGAGTGAGCCCAAATAAATGATGCACCTAAAGGTACTAGAAAAGAACAATCCAAATTCAAAGCTAGTATAGTAATACCTGGGTTCACAGATGTGCTCAGCAAAATTTTGCTTTCATTCATGAACTCTACGTTAGGTGACAAACACAGCTGTGGCCATCTTCCCCACACAAACACGAACAGGGCCATTTTTCCAGTCTGACACTCTGGCACATGGTTGTGTCTTCCTCTAGTTGAGATCACGGCACAGACCTGTGCACACTTACCGTAAAGCTTTTTTGTGTGCTTCTCAGCACATGCAGCACTGTACATGGCTCCAAAGAAAGTGCAGAGCAAGCGTGGTGGTGAAAAGAAAGTGCAGAGCTGTAATGAAGGAGACAAGGAAGTGCAGAGCAACAGTGGTAAGAAGGTTCTGAAGCAAATCATCCCTGAATTGAGAAAGAAGATTGTAGAAAACGTGAATGTGGTATTCGGGAGGCTGATCTGGTCTCAGAGTGCAAGATGGTGAAGTGGACTATTTTGAAGACTAAAATGCAATCAAAGGAAATGATGTGGGAAAAGGTGTAATGATGTTGACCAGGCTGAGGACACAAGTACTGGAAGAGGTAAAAAAATTTCTGTTAGTGTGATTGAATGAGAAACAGCTGCCAGGTGATAGTTAGCAAAGCTATGATCTGTGAAAAAGCCAGGAAATTGCACTGTCGTTTATTGCAAGAAAACTCCTCTACAAGTGTAACCAGTGATGAATTTAAAGCCAGTAGAGGGTGGTTTGATAAATTCTGCAAGAGAAGTGGCATGCACAGTGTGATAAGATGCTGTGAGGCTTCCAGTTCTGACAAGACCCCTGCAGAAACCTACAAGAAAGAATTTGCAGAATTCATGAAGGCAGAAGGATGCTTTGTTCAACAAGGGTTCAACTGCAATGAAACAGGGCTCTTCTGGAAGAAGATCCTGAGCAGAACCTGTATCACTGGCACTGCTGGTGCACAAGCCCATGAAGGTCGGATTGACCCTTTTGCTGTGTGCAAATGCAAGCACTGATCTGGAGATTAAGCCACTACTGCTGTACCATTCCCAGATCCCTCATGCATTCAAGAAACAGAAGGTGAACAAGGTCGGACTGTCTGTCATGTGGAGGGCCATTGTGAAAACTTGCACAAGGTGTTCATACCCACCATTAAGAACTCTCTTTGTACCAACCAATGGCCTGAAGGTGCCTTCTTCTGAGGGACAGTGCCCTGGCACACCCTCCAGCCTGGGTGGACAATATGGATGCTGAGTATGGCTTCATAAAGGTCAAGTTGCTCCCTCAAAACACCTCTTCTGCAGCCCATGGGCCAGCAAGTGATCTGCAACTTCAAGAAGTTGTACACACAGGTGCTCTTCAACAGCTGTTACTGAAGAGACGTTCTTGACTCTGAAAGACATCTGCAAGAAACGTTTCAATGTTCTCCACCACTCCAACCTCATTGACAAAGCCTAGAAAGATGTCATAAACCAAACTTTAATCTCAACTGGGAGGAAACTGTGGTCAGAATGTGTCTCTGAACATGACTTTGAAGGGTCTGATGCACAGGTAGTAGAGGAGATGGTGTCGGGGGCAAGAGATGGGTCTGAACATCGATGGTGCCAACAAAGAGCAGCTTGCTGAGGCCCATAAGGAACAGCTGACAAATGAAGAATTTGCTGGGCTCCAGAGTAAGCAGCAAA